CATATATATACAAGACTCAAAAGTCACATCACACAATGTGAGCTTAAATGATAGTAATACGTTTAAGGTAGAGAGCTTGTTGACCTTTATGAATTCAGCTGCTAAGGCAGTTGATAAGAAAGAGATGTTTCATTAAAACTGAATTGTAGTGTTCTCCTCCCTCCCTCCCTCTCTCTTTGTACCTTAAATCTTTACTAGCTCCATTTTGTAATATTAAAATCATTTACATGAATGATTATGGGTCTTGTCCTTAAACGGTTGCCCATTGCCCTAAAGAAAATGTTTATGACCTGAGCAGAATAATTACATTCTCCTATTAAATATCACTCCTTCAGGCCTAGTTATTGTTGAGGGTAAATGTGCCACTTTATATGCAAATAAAATGCAGTGAGAGTCAAATAAAAAGTTCTGCATACATCTACTGACAAATCATCTTATTATGTTTTACATTAACTGACAGAACATCTAGTGGGATGAAATGTTAATAGAGTTCAACAGGATGTTCCATATTGCTTTGCTCACATGAAATCCTACTTATGTGGAAGCCATGGTCTATGAAGGGAGGGGAATTTAAATGTTGCAGACCCACCAACTCCAGTAGTCATCAGACCCCTCCTCCAAACCCTGAAGTCGGCTAACCTTATTATTATTATTATTATTATTATTATTATTATTATTATTATTATTACCCACTCTTCACCAAACAGATCCAGGGTGGAGTTTAACTATTATTTAAAATTCATTTTACTGCCTATTTCTCCTAATATACACATTTTACTGCAATATATATTATGCACACATTTTCTGTAATACAATGCATTATACATATAATTTTCACGAATGAGTGTATCTTTATGCACACTAATTAATGCATTCTTGTACATATTTCTTAATCAGAGAACTACATACAGAACTCAGAAAGGTGGACATTTCAAAGGGAAGCTATGTATTGTTTCAGGATGTGTAAAATATGTAGGTGCACATTAAAATGTGAACTGAACCAAATTTCTTCCTCATCCCTAGCTGCAGAGGGAAGGGAAATCAGTAGATCTCAGTCCTGGTTGGAAAAATAGTTAGAATTCGTCATAATTTTTATTCAACAGCTGATCAGAAACATCTTGATTTATACGAAGCTCCTTCTAATATTGTGAAAGTGGGTTGGAGAAAAAGAATGATGCTCAAATTGTTCTTTTTAGTGTGGCAGAGAGACCACTATATTTCACTATATTTCATATGAGAGCCTTTCATTTCAAGATAATGTACTGACTTAATCACCACTTTCCAAAACACAAAGCATCCAATCACTTTCCCCTCCTCTTTTGTTCATTTTTTTAAAAAAGAACAGTTGCTTTTCAATCTATCTGTGCATGATTTTCCACCCACAAGTCTCACCCTATATATGGCAATTCTTTTCCACTCCCACCAAGCTTATTTTTGTAACTATATTGAAATCTTATGCATAATGATGGAAGGGTTGCTATGGAGATTGTGTGTGATTTGTCATGAGGAAAATCTATTGTGTTTGAGATCATTCTCCACATTAATGACCTGAGAATCTTTTTGCTTTCATCCTCAGGGGATTAGGAAGGGGGGGGACTACCTACATAGATATCAAGCCCTACAAACAAAATAAAACCTTATGAACATCAATGGGTGTTAACAGAATCATAGAATTGCAGAGTTGTAAAGGGATCATCTAGTCCAACCCCCTGCAATGCAGGAATGTCAACTACATGACAGATGGCCATCCAACCTCTGCTTGAAAACCTCCAATCACCATCATTTTTAGAAGAGCCCGCTGCCTCTTGTGGGAATAGGTTCCACTGTCATACAGCTTTTACCATCAGAAAGTTTTTTCCTGTAACTTGAATCCATTGGTTCAAGTCTTAGCCTCTGCAGGAGAAAACCAGCTTGCTCCATCATCCATGTGACAGCCCTTTAGATATTTGAAGATGGCTATCAAATCTCCTCTCAGTCACCTCTTTTCCATACTAAACATACCCGATTCCCTCATCTGCTCCTCATACGGCTTGTTTTCCAGACCCTTGATCATCTTGGTCACCCTCCTCTACACAAGTTCCAGCTTGTCAGTATCCTTCTTAAACTGTGCTGCCCAGAACTGGACACAGTACATCAGGTATGGTCTGACCAAAGCAGAATGGAGTGGTACAATTACTTCCCTTGATCTGGACACTATATTTCTGTTGATGCAGTCTAGAACAGCATTCATTTTTTTATTTTATTTTTTGCTGCTGCATCACGCTGTTGACTCATGGTAAGCTTGAGGTCTACTAAGACCCCTAGATCCTTTTTACATCTTTACAATCCAAGTGTACTCCATCTTACATGTGTGCTGCTGGTTCTACCTGCGCACAGAGGCCAATACTGTCACTCACAGATGGTATATAATTAAACACATTTAAGAGTCTGTGCTTTCATGACTCCTGTATAAGAAAATTTTAAGTGTCTTCACAATTAATTATTTTCTCCTCTTGAAATATCCTGAAACACTGCAATTAAACTGGTATGCATGCACTTAAGGTGACAATCTCAATCTATATATGTGTAGAAGTAGTTAGAAAACTCTAATATACAATGCCCTCAATCCATGCTGCATTTGCCATAGATAGATAGATATGTAGATAGATATAGATATATTGATTACTGCATGCCACTCAGAAGCAATTCAGGCTATCCAGTTTGCACCAAACTATAGCTAAAAGCTTAGCTTCAGATTACAACAAGGTGGCAATTTTATTTCTCCCATACCCTACACACCAGCTGAGGCTCAGGGAAATCTAAGAGAAAATGCATATTAACTGCTTAGAAGCTCCAAGTTTTCAAGGGTGACCATAGCTTTCTCAAGAGACTGGAGTCAATCCCTTAAAGAGAAAGATAATAACATGGAAGGGAGTTTCCGAACATGGAAAGATACAGTGGTACCTCGGGTTAAGAACTTAATTCATTCCGGAGATCCATTCTTAACCTGAAACTGTTCTTAATCTGAAGCACCACTTTAGCTAATGGGGCCTCCCGCTGTCACCACGCTGCCGCTGCACGATTTCTGTTCTCATCCTGAAGCAAATTTCTTAACCCAAGGTACTATTTCTGGGTTAGCAGAGTCTGTAACCTAAAGCGTCTGTAACCTGAGGTACCACTGTATATGAACTGGAACATTACAGCTATCCACTTCAGCTAGTGAGAAGTCAAAAATTTAGGATCCATTTAATAATGCAAAAGCTATGTCCAGCTCAGACTACATAAGCATTCTCTAAAATAGCCAACTGTTTTATGGTATACTTCTTGTTGATGCACAACAGTCTCCATGGCAAGAAAAAGACAATGGGCTAGATCAAAACTAAGTTAGTTAACTTGGCCCACTAATTTCATTGGGATCCAAGTTTGCCTAATCAAGATCTAACCTAACAGATGTGTTTGTTTATTTGAATGCATATTACACTCTTATTCAATGGGCTCAGGAAGCTTATTTCATTTTCATTAATTTTAAATATAATAAAAGATTTCAAATAAAAATACTTTAATTAATTTCAGCCATATTAGCCTGATATAGGGAGGAAAAAGCAATACAGATTCTGGTGAACCTTAGAAAATTAATAGACTTACTGTGGCTTAAGCTTAAATGTTAAAAAAACAACAACACTTTGTCTGTTGAAAATTTGCTTTACAAAGAGTAGATTATAGAAGTATTACTCTTTAAAAGTACTGTACAAGACACTCTAACATTTGAACATTTCTATTCCCCTTGAGTTCTACTATTCCCTTTCATCCTCCTGAACACATATTCTACAAATTAAATATTGTAGTCAATGAAATAAATTTGCAATTACGGTAAATATCCTTCCTTCAATTAATTTATTAATGTTGCAGTGTCTACATCAGTCTTCCTCCAGCAGTTGCCCTCCAGATCCTTCTGGATATCATTTCCCCTCATCCCTGAGCTTTGGGCATGCTTGTTGTGGTTGATGGGAGTTGGAGTCCAACAGCATCTGAAGATCACCAAGTTGGGGAAGTCTGCTCTATATAAACTAGATGCATCTGTCAAAGTGGCTCTAGCCAGCAAAAGCATATGACATGATGATTTGTTAGTATTTTAAGTAAAGTGCCACAGGACTCTGTTGTTTTGCTGCAGCACAGATTAACACTAATTATATTTGGAGGAAAATTTTCTTCTGGAAGTTTTCCTAGAATATTTTTTTAGGCACTGATGGCATTTCAGCTTTGTTATAAAAACATTAAGTGAATAGCATTCATGATTGCAGAGATAACCCTGAAGATCTGTGCCCTAACAAACTTTTAAAAAACATGACTATGGCTGCAACCCTTAACCCACCGACCTGGGAATAAACCCCACTGAACTCAATGTCTCTTACTGCTGAGTAGGCATGCATAGGATTTACAATATAAATGAATGGCTACAGCCAGTAGGTGATATTTTGCAGGTACACAAATATCTGTGAACTGGAATTGGGATGCTACTGCAGTTGGATCAGTGGGCATAACTTAAAGAGAAACATAGGCACATAAGTCTGCCTTCTCCCTCCCAACAGCAACAAATCATACAGTCATATAACAAAAAGGAAAGCAGAAAGAAATAAAAACATCCAATAAATCAGGAAACATAAAATATACAATTAAAAGGAATTAAAAATAAAAAAAGGTAATTTATAAATCCAGAAAGGGGGGGGGAAAAGGTTAGGCCAGTTCCACTTCAAATTTGTGTCTTTAAGAATACAGTTTTTAAGATACAGTTAATATATATATATCTGTTAGAAAGTAACCATCCACTCAGTCAAGTTAATGTTCAATCTCCATTGCTGTAGGCAGTCTCTGTGTCCCATTCATAAAAAAGTTCCTTTGCAGAGCTCGCCCGCAGAAATCAGAAGCTGACTTCCTGTTTTGCTTCCGTATCGCCAAATTAACTTTTTAGCTTCTAATTTTAATTTTAAATGTTTTATTTGACGTTAACCTCTAATTGGAAGATCTACTGCTTCTGGTGATGGATCGTAGCTTCAGCAGCAGGCTGGATTGGTGCCGAGAGTGAACTCAAGCCTCTTCCCCTTCCTCCTGCGCACACGGCGGCAGCCTGGAAACGTTCGGGGGGGTGAGTTTTTTCGCTCCGCTGGAATCCTCAGGTCCCCACTCCTCTGTGGGTTTTGTTGGGGGGGTGCACTGAGCTCTAGCGCAACCCTCGAAGCCTCTCTGTCAGCTCTGTGTTGAGGACGACACTTAGCGCACCACTATTGTCCTCCGTAGTAGACCGGAAGTCAGTCTGACTTACTTCTGAGTACATGCAGGTAGGGTTGCCCTGGTGATCACACTTGTATGTCAAGTTGCCTAGGGTCATCCCATCTTATTACATGATAACTGACCCAAGATAGCTCTTCAACTTCACCTATAAAGTCTGCTGGTTAAACTTTTTGACTTCCCTAAAATCCTTCAGATTTTGGTGACGTTTCAGTTATGACTCTAGCAGCTAGAGTCTGGTCATGTCTGAGTAGCTGAAACTGAATCTTCATGATACCCTAATACTCTAGCTCAGGGGTAGCCAATGTGGTGCTCTTGAGATATTTTGGACTACAGCTCCCATCAGCCCCAGCCAGCATGCACAATGGCAAGGGATAATGGGAATTGTAGTTTACAACATCCAGAGGGCCCTAGTTGGCTACCCTGCCTCTTAACTCCTCACTGCACTGGCTCTCTCATGAGCATGTTTTAGTATTTGGAAAGCATAGTTTACTAGATTTCTAGGGAGCCAGTCAAAATGTTGCACTACTACATTTACATTAAACTACCATACATATTCAATGTTACTATTAAGCATCTTATACACATACATACATCACTAACATTAGATAAGCCTGGTCAAGTACTAGTAGATAAAATTGCAACTTTATCTCCTGAATTCTCTACTGAAGCAAACCTACTGATGAGAGAGGGAAAGCTATAGGAACAGTAACTTGGACTGGCAATGAGGCCTTAAGCCAAAATACTCCAGTATCATTTTCATGTTTCATGGTAATCATCTGCCTTGGACTTTAAAAGCATGCCTCATCACCTTTATTGTACCAATTCAGAGCACCTTCTTGCCCTTTACCCTTTATAGACTTTTTTCCAGTGTAGCTGCTTGCTTAAATATCCTTCAAAGTGCCATGAAATGTGAAAGATTCATTAAAATATACGGTGGAACAGATGGAGAAGTGCCGCTTGGGGCAAATAATGAATTTAGGATTCAGAGCAGACATCATAACAACATACACAAACATATGTTCACCTACTATAATAATGCTCATCTTTTGGACCTGTAACCTTTTAACGGCACAATTAAGGGTAGTAAATTTCATAGAATACTGCTAAATTAAAAGATCATTTACGTTTCTTTCCATCATATCAGAGCAGACCTAATTTTCACACCTGATCCTCTGTGTCTAGCTGTGTTGGAGCAAAGAGTGGCTTGGGTCAGCTTTTCGACTGAGGCGCTGTGTGCAGCACAAACAGCCATTCCCACAACCACAATGCTGCGTATCAGTCATACCATTAGAAAATGTGGCAGACGCACACCAGACCTTCAGGATTACATTGGCAAAATGAATTTAGGCTGACATAAAGATAAACTCTCCCAAGTTATTTACATACCCCGCCTATTTTCTGTTTTGCGCATTTTTGGCAGGCCTTCCAGAGCCTTAAAGTTGAATGCAGCACACAAATTATGTATTTGGAGGACTTTCAGATGCTTTATGACACCTTTGTATTTGCAAGCCCAGCTAGGTTATTGAGTCCCTGTAGGCCAATTCCTGGCTGGTGTTCTGCATCCATCTTGTTGGATCACAAGCTAGCAGACAATGCAATTAGGTTTCCTAACTCCAGGCCGGGGGAAAACAGTACCTGTAACTTTAAGAGCTTTGATGCACAATGTAACAGCAGTGGCTTGTATTCTGTGGCACATTTGCCTATACTTTCTCTACGTTATGGCAAAGAGGAATAAGCCCTTAGGAGTTCATTTTTAATTATTTGCAAATTTATAAACTGCTTCACAACTAAAAGGTACCAAAGTGGTGTACAGTAAGATGAAATACAAGAGATTATTGACTCAGTAAACAATTAGCAACACAACCATTTCTACAGTTGTGCAATAATTTTCCTTTAAAATTATTAAAAACCTTCTTTAAAAGGTCTTCCATAGCTACCCAAATACCAAGGTGCTGAGGCATGCCTAATTGCAGTTGGGCTGGAGTAGCAACACTAAAAGCCCAGTTTCTATAACAAAATAAGCACACCCCTGAGGTATTGGCTCCTTTCAGTCTGCCCAGTGCAGTTGCTAGGCAGGAATATATGGAGTGAAGCAGTATCTTAAGTAAGCTGGTCCCAAGTTGTTTACAGCAGCAAGACCACATCTACTTCCCTATCACCTGATATCTTATAAAATCAGATGCAGGAAACCTAAAGCCATAGCTGCAAAGGAAGAATCAGGAGTGCAGTGGAGTTTGAATTAGGAACTGGTTTTAGTTGTATTGTTAGCATCCACCAGTCTCACAAGACACTGGAATGTGCCTCAATGGGTGAAGTGGGCTTTCCAGGGTACAAGCCTGGGTAGTGTGTATGGAGATCTTTGGCTGCCCAGACAACAGGATCTCTCTTTCGACCTTGCTGATGTGGTTCAAAGGAAAGCAGAGCAATACATTTGGCTCCAGCTTGGCAGCAGGAGTTGCTAGAAGGAGATGTACAAGGCGCTATCAAACCGCCTTACAGACTCCACTCTGGATTTGTGTAGGGTTTACTCCTTAGCCTTTTCACTTGAAGGTATTATGCAAGGCAGCAGAGGTTTAGGATGACAGCTTTCCTTCTCCTAGATAGGCTACCTTCCCAGGCTGACAAGCCCCATATTTCCCTCACTTCCCTCTACAGCACATGCAGAATCCACCTTCTCGACTGCTGAAACCGCTATTGGTGTTGTCCGCTCAGTCCACCAGAGCCTGTCTTCGCATGCAGGGGAAATCCCTGACTCACTGAGGATTTGAGATCCATTGGCTATGCTCACCTGGATGTAGCTGGCCAGTTGAAGCCGTTCCTGGAGTGTGGCTGCTGACACATGCTGACAGCTTCTTGGACCCACAGGTGGGAGCTGTGTATAGGGTGGAGATCAAAGATGGACAAACTACCCCAGATGAAGCACAACGTGTCCCCCCTCACAGGTACTACTCTTCCCCTAAAACCCCATACACCCCAGGTGTGTGTGTGTGTGTGTGAACACACATGAGAATAGAAATGATCTCAAATGAATAAATATTTTGCTACAACAGGTAAGTAGATTAGGTAGCTCCTATTTCTGCTATATTTTGTACTTAAGTACAGATTTTTATTTTTATTTTAATGTACATGTACCATGAAAATTGTGAACTGCAACCTACCACTTTTTCCTTTAAAAATACATGGAGGTGTAGTTTTTCCCCAAGTGGCTGCTTCATGGATTTTGAAGGAAAGCGTCAATTTACACAAAACATGTACCCTTCACAAATAACACTGTGTGCTTGTATTTTGTACTCTGATTATATCTGTTCCCAAGTACAAAAGATCACATGAGAAGTTCCCCTGAGGCACTACTTTGCAAAGTACTTGGGATATCGGAAACCCGTCCTTGATTTATTTCGACAATCTTCTTCTGACACAAACAGGGTAAGCGGAGGGGTGTTATGAGAAGGTATTTTAATTTGTGTGATAAATTGTTAGACTCCATTAGGTTTAATGAGTATCATCAGTGTATTCTTAGAATAGTTTTTAAAATCCTATCAAAGACTGATATAATCAAATTAAGCAAATTAATAGCAAGAATCCTGTGTATCTGCAGGATATAAGGGACTTAATATAAGCCCACTGTAAAAGTTATATTTTTGTTTCTTGTTGCTTTAATTATGTAGTCTAAACTGCTACTTCCCCCCAGTTTCCACTATTTGAACAGACTGGAAAGGCCTAGTTTTGGCCTAGAATCAGCCTTGACAGATGAGTTTCTCTAGTGTACAGATGGGGGAGTACAACCCTCCCAGCAGGAACCCTTAGTGACTTTTGATGCCATTGACCATGGTCTTTTCCCGGATCATCTATATGAGTTGGGGTTTGAAGCCATTGCTCTACGGTGGTTTGGCTCCTGTTTGTACGTCAGGTCTCAGAGGATAGCTCTGTGAGACTATGTGTCTACACCCTGGCAACTTAGCTGTGGGGAACTGCAAGGCTCTTTATCTCCAGTGCTTTTTAACATCTATATGAAGCCTTTGGGGCAGTTATCAGGAGGTTTGAGATCCTATTTCTCCATTGTCAGGGGACTGCCATCGGAACAGGGAAGGGAAGAAGAGGGGCAGTTGGGTTACAGGGAACCTCCGAAAATCTTGCGAGGCAGTTCCTCTTCCTGTGGTGGGGAAAGCCACACCTCCAGTGGGGAAGAGGGGGAGGGACCAGAGGATGCTGCTGGGAGCCTCAGCATCGCTCCTGGCCAAATCGGCCAAGAGGGAAGCACGTCTCTTCTGTCGCCCACCCTGCGCAGAGGGGTAAAACGCAAATAAGGAAGGAAAAGGCTGGGGGTGACTAAGCTATTATGTTGGGGGAGGACCCGGAAACGACCACTCCCGGATTCTGCTACCGACTGAGGCAGACATGAACTTGTGGTTCTGCACTGTGGTTTTGCACCAAAATAAAACATGTAAAAGACAGGGCGGAGTCCTGACTGGTTACTCACGAGCAACCACCATAGCCATCTGACATCCATTTAAGATGAGCCAGGAGAGTTTGTGCCAATTCTGAACCAGTGTCTGGATGCAGTGGTGGTTATAAGATTAAAGCTGCTAAAACAGTGACACTGCAAAAACAGAGACACTGTGGGTGAATGGTTCCCAGATCCAAGATTCGGGGACTTTGCCTGTTTAGATGAGGCTGCACTCCCTCTGAAGGAACAGGTAAATGGATAATGAGGAACCATCTTTCGTACCATCTTTGTCTATGGAAACCCAGGTGGCCTTAAAGGCAAGAAGTACCTATCACCAGCAACAACAACACACTTTTGTGCAACTCTAGGAAGGTGAGTGAAATGACTGGTTTGTGGAGGAGAAAGGGAGGGAGAAATATTTTAAAACAGATTTAAAGCACTGGGGTAGGGTGGATCTCTGAAATGGGTGTTCGGAAAAGCTTTTTTTTTTTTTTTGCAGACTTGCTTTCAGTAGTAGAAGCAGTGCTTTTTTCTAAATAAAAAAAATTAGGGGTATAGTAATACCTCCGCCTTGTCTAGCGTCCATTCCGGCGAATGTCCACAGCAAACCCGGAAGTACTGGAATGAGTTACTTCCGGGTTTGCCAATCGCGCTTTGTGCATGTGCAGAAGCGCAAACTGCTCCCCGCACATGCACAAACGCAGCACTTTGCCCTGCGTCCTTTTCAGAACGGATTCCGGCCGCAAAACTAGGTATGACTATACTCTCATTATCCTACTCATATTGAAATACAGTCCCTCAATGAGGCCAAACATAGATTCACAAAATGTTTAGGGGTATGCGTACCCCTGCGTCCCCCCAGAAAAAAGCACGGAGTAGAAGCAGCCCATACCCCACCTGGGATTAAAGCAAGGCTAACTGGTCTGCTATGTGTCTGGGTTTGTAAAGAACAACCAAGATGCCCACCACATTTTCTGCTGCAGAATACATTTTTGCAACTCCCCTGTTTTATCCCATACAGGTACTGTATGGACTGCCCATCTTCAAGAGTGTATTTCAAGAGCATCATACACATTTAAGTGCTTGTTTGCCTTCTGTGAACAGAGGAACCTTCAGACTTGTATTTTCCCCCATCTGCCACTTTTCAACAACACAACAGTCTTCCTCTCCCACCCCTCTTCTTCCTGACCTTATACTGTACTCAGCATTAATGTCTCCTAACAAATGTAACTGATCTGTAGAAAAGACTTTACAACTTCAAAAAAGAGACAAGGCACGTACTTTTGTAAACAAAGAAAATGAGAGAGAGAGAGAAGCGTAATTTGCAACTGAAGTTCTTGATCATGTCACATACTGTCTTTTTTGTTCACAGACCATTCCAGATGGATAGCGTGATGGGAATGAAGGAAGTAGATTTGAACTTTCAAGTATTTGCAAGCCCTCTTGCAAGAGCCTGCGATGAATGAAAGGAGCAGGATGTTGCTTGCAAGCTGCCAGGTTCAAGGAGATGACATGCAGGCAATACATGACATTTAAAGGCTTCTAGTGAGGTTTGTTTACTTCACACGTTACAGTGTAATTGGGAAAGAGATCAACAGCTGGCATCTATCATATATCTGAATCTTAATGCCAAGGATTTTGAGAGGCCCTCTTGAGACTGAAACGACTGCAGATAGGTTCACAGTGTCCTTCAAGTGGTAGCATTAATTTGTACTTTGAAATGCTTATCTTCCACTTCAACAGATTATCACCTTTTCATCTCTGAATCTGGTTGGGAATAATGATTCAAAAACACTTTGGATTGGGCTGCCCAACATTTAAAAAACAAGAGTTAGTTACTAATTAACAAATAGCTAAACTGTATGGCCGTAGGACCAGTTTGCAAATGCCCCATCACAAAAATAACATGCATGTAGTGGGACTCATGTTCATGTCATGTGTAATTTACCTGGCCAATTGTAAAAGGTAAAGGTACCCCTGCCCGTACAGGCCAGTCTTGCCAGACTCTAGGGTTGTGCGCTCATCTCACTCTATAGGCCAGGAGCCAGCGCTGTCCGCAGACACTTCCGGGTCACGTGGCCAGCGTGACAAGCTGCATCTGGCGAGCCAGCGCAGCACACGGAACGCCATTTACCTTCCCGCTGGTAAGCGGTCCCTATTTATCTATTTGCACCCAGGGGTGCTTTCGAACTGCTAGGTTGGCAGGCGCTGGGACCAAATGACGGAAGCGCACCCCGCCGCGGGGATTCGAACCGCCGACCATGCGATTGGCAAGTCCTAGGCGCTGAGGTTTTACCCACAGCGCCACCCGCGTCCCAATATGGCCAATTGTACTAGACTGCAAATGTAGAGTGCAAGCCATGCAAACAATAATGTCCTACTGAAAAAAAATCTAACTTAAAACATTTGTCATGGGAATTAAGTATTGTTTACTTTTCCTGGCATTGAATTTATTCAGTTCCCCAGCACTGGCACAGAGGATGAAAGTGATTGTATCTGCTGGCCCAGTGCTTGACCTGTATGCACGATCATGAATCATGGAGGAATCAGGGTTCCCAGTTATAATATGCACAAAGCTCAATTTCATTTTCAGGTGAATACACAAAGGATGGAGGCCTGCCAGCAGACATGATCCCCCTTCCTCTCAAGTTTGGTGAAAAGTAAATATAAGATGAGAATGGGGATAATTTTAAAGTGGAATAAATATCATTCCCAACATACTGAAAGGCTGCCAAATGGTAGGACCCCAACAATGCAGACTCTCCCAACAACACCCTCATCAGCTCCTGGGCTAGTCACAGCTGCCCCGCTAACATTGGCCTGGTATTTGTTCTCATAAATGGCACTACGCACAGCTGGCCCAAGTCATTTTGCTGCCTGAGGTGAGGGCCAAAATGTTACCCACTCACATTCCATGTACAGGATGTGGCTGAATCTCACTTCAGCACATGCAACAGGGCAGCATATTCCACCGCACTTGTTGCAGCAGGCTTGTTTACGGGGTACAGAGTAGGCTACAGAGCACTTACAGCCCTGTCATCTGATATCTCACCACTGCTACCAATCCCCTCCCAGAATTTGCCACCTGAGGCAGCCTCTTCATTTTACCTAATGGAAGGGCTGGCCCTGGTGAGCATGGCCAATCTATGGAAAACTACAGTGAGAAAGTGGCAGGCAAAACATGATACACCCTGTGCCCAGGCTACTTTGCTATTATCATCCACTCCTGAAGTGTGTCTATTTCTTTTTGTTTGTTTACTATTTTTTCTTCTTTATTGATGTAAAATAAGAAATACCAAAAAAAAATTATGATTGAAGTTACAAAACACAGAACAGTGCAGAGCTTGCATTTTCCAAATAAATAAAGGCCCAAAATGAAAGCAGCAAAACCCATTATGAAAGCCAAATTTCATGATTTGGTGAAGTAATAAAGTTTTGATTATCAAAATTTGACATGTAAGAAATGAAATGCCACCAAACAGCACAAAAATGGTATGGGTCTTTTTAACCCTTAGAAACATGTAATCTGTGAGTTCTTTTCTCTGGAGTAGCCACAGTCCACATTTTCTTTTATAATGAGAGATTTAAGTCCTGTAGTGCCTTCCCTTTCTAGGCCAAAGATGTTCTCACTGCAGCCAGCATCCATGTAGGAAGTTCCTTAGATCAGAAAGTTACTGCTTGATCATCCCATAAGTTCTAAAGGAAAAGCTGTGGGGAGGCTTCAATTAGGCATTTTATGTCTGTCTATCTATCTATCATCTAGCAGCATCAATCAAAAATTGTGGTGATGGATAGCATTCTCACTATAATGGAAAATGGGGGGGGGGGAGTGGAAAAATGTCCCCTGCCAACAATCCTGTGGGGTATCTGATATCATAAGGGAAAGTTTACAGAATTTGCAAGGTATATACCGTATTTACTTGAATCTAATCTCCCCTTCTTTCGCCAAATTACGTTGCGAAAATTAAGGTGTGCATTAGATTTGATGACACATTTATGTTTGCCAGCAAAGGAACCCTTTGGGTTCAAGGTTCTGAAAACTGAGGTGTGCATTAAATTTGATGGCACATTAGACTCAACTAAATACGGTAACCTTACTTTTTACATAAACTGAGGTTGATTTATAGGGCTCAGATGCCTGCATTGCATTCCACTTAGAGTCATATATTTTCAACAGAAATATCAAGAAATTCATTATAAAGAACAGATACCAGTCTTCTGCCCCAACGATCCAGATGTAATAAAATTCCTTCAAATTCAGTAAGGGGTCTAGCAGCTTGTGCCTTAAGGGCAGGATCAACCAATAAATGTTGAAATTGGCAGATACATATCCAATTAAGCTCTGGTTCTCGTCAGCCTTATAATTCTGCTGTTGCAATCTTGCTTTTATTAATTAACACAGCAAGTGGTGATGCTGCCCACCAATGATCTCCTATCAAATATGCTGTCATTCTGATACCATCATCACGTGCAAGGCTTGAGAGTGCTAGGTGTTAAGAGCACAGGATGTATGGGTTTAGTTCACTTATGAATTGGATAAACGACATTGACTTCCCAACACATTTAATTGACAATAGAAACACCATCATTCAGAAAGCCTTATTCTCAGTTTTCCCAGGCAGTGCCCTCTGGGAGCTCCAGGAGCTAAGCCTATTTCACACACTGCCCTATCCTTGTTGGAAGATTATCATGTATCACATTTTAAAAGCCCTTATATTGCATTTCTTCTTCACGATAAAGTTTTTAGAGCCTGAATGACTTTAGAGTGGCAATTTGTAAAGGAGATTATTCTGGCAAAGTGGATCTGGGCAAATTGTCTCTCATTATTTCAGTAAATGAGCTTTACGAGAAATTCAGTAATCAAGAAATGCTGCCAAAGAAAAGGGCTCCAAGGGCTGCTGTTCCCTATACAGACAATCTGTAATCAAGCTGGTAAGATGCATGATACCTTGTGAATAATACAGACCCCCCTGTGTGAATGACTTTTTTAAAAAAATGTATTTTTATTAAAGATTTTCTTGATTTACAAAAGTATGTGCAATGTCTCTCTCTCTTGTATTTTTTCCATGTAACATTTTTACAAATCAGTTGCATTTGTTGAGACATTAGGAAGAAAAGGGGGAAAGATGGGTGGGGTCAGATGGCGATGTTTCTGTTTTACTTAATATATGTAAGGTTTGGTGTCAGCGTTGCTTGTGCAGGTTCTCTGCTGTTCACTTGTGTTCCTTTGGTGGTGAGAGAGGTTGGGGTTGGCCTAGGGTGTGGTTGTTCATTTGTGGTTGGCTGTGGTGGTCTTTGTTTTCATGTGTGAGTGGGGTGGGTTGGTGTTTTGGTTCAGGTTAGCCATATTGATTTGTATGCTGTTGGTGGATTTTTGTCATTGTCTTGTTGGGCTGTGAATGTGCAAAAGGGGAGCCATACTGGGGTGAAGGTGTCTTCTTCTAATTGTCCCCATGTCAGTTACAGTTTATTGGTTAATTTTTCTAGTAAGGCTGTTTCCCATACTATATGGTAATATTGGTCTATGCTTAGTCCTGACAAGTCTCTCCAGTGTCTGGTTATGATGTTTCTGGCTGCTGAAAGTCGGTGGGTTATAATATGTGCCTTTAAAATTTATTGCATACAGTACTTTAGAAAGGAGAAAGACAAAGAATTATTTTCATTTAGTGTATGTACTGAAGGAGATTAATCCTTGGGCCTTTCAGACATTATTTACCTAGGAAATATACAGTCCATCAAAGCTCTCCAATGTGCACATGTCCTTGCTTCATCCCCTTGACAAAAGGAGGACCTAATGTTCTCTCTACGGTATCATTCCTTTTTGTTTATTTATTTATCTTCTTATAGCATTTGTATCCCACTGTTCTCCAAGGAGCTCCAGGTACGCTGAGAGATAATGACTTGACAGAAGCCATGAAGAGTTTTATGGCTGAGTGGAGATTTGAGTGGTCTCACTCCTAGTCCAACACTCTAACCACTACACCATATATTGGATTTGTTGGAATGGATCGTGGGGGTTTAGGGAGATACTTCATTTAATGCCTGAGCTCTTTGTTCCCTAGGAGATTACTCCCAAGTAACATCTGTACATGCCACTTGTAAAAAAAGAGAGCAAATTTTGTGTTTTTCACTGCTGGACTTATTGGTGTAATTTTCCCACAGAATATTAAATTTTCAAAAATAACTAATTTTTTAAAAAATGTAATTTTAAAGAGTTTGGAATTCATTCTTTTCCTAGTGAAGTAGAAATCCATTATCAATGAAGCCAGCTTCATGTACACAAGGATATGGTCTGACTACAAAACTAGTAAGAACTAGTTTTGGAGGGGCCTAGCTGACTGCTGGAGTAAAAAACAGCTAACACATAAGATGCAAGGAAGCCTCTCTGCACGCATTCAAATAACTTGGGTTGAATAAGTGCCTTGAAGTGGTTGGATGAGGAAATGGTGAGGTGCTGGAATGACAGAAAGTAGCAGAAAGTTGCTGGCTAGAGGATGAAACTACTCTGTAAAGTATATCATAATGAAATACCTTCACAGATTATTTAGACTTGTAATGCCATTTCTGAGTATAGTCTGACCATTTGTTGTGAGCCTCCATATTGAACCCCCAAAGGGAAATTTATCCTTTTTGATGTTTGCTCTGATTTAGCAGTAAACAGCAAGTTGTCCCAGGGAAAGTGGTGGGACCTATCAGACCCATGCCTGGAAGTCATGAACCAAACAGAAGCGAGGATAAGCTGAAAGTGGTGATGTCATTGCCTGATGGACTTGCCTAGATTTTTTCTTGCCCCATCTCTAACCCTGGAAGTCCAGAAGGAAAGGAAGGCTTCTGATATGTGCACAACTGGGATTCAATGTGACTTTAACAAGGATACCATGCTCGGGTTCTATCAAACAGCTTTTAATCAGAATCTACAGTAGGGTTTCCCAAACTTGGGTCTACAGCTGTTTTTGGACTACAACTCCTACCATCCCTACCTAGCAGGACCAGTGGTCAAGAATGATGGGAATTGTAGTCCAAAAACAGGTGGAGATCCAAGTATGAGAAACCCTGATCTACAGTATAGCTCCAGATCCTGGGTAATGGAATTAAAAATGAACAATGAGAACACACAGCGTAAACAGTAATGCATACACAGCATAATGTTGATACAACAGCTGTAATGCAATAGTGTATCATTCTACTAAAGATGGGAAACCTTTGGCTTGCCAGATGTTCCTGGCCTCCAGCTTCCATTAACCTAAGCCACCATGGTCCATGGTCAGGGATCATGGGACTTGTAGTCTTCAAACATCTGTAGAGTCACAAATTTCCCACCACTGCCCTACACAAGGAAAAAGCAAAATAGCTTTGCTTCAAGGAACATAACCTGGATGCAGGATGGTGTTTGTGAATATTAAGTCATTTGCTGCTTTGTTAGAAGTGGGGGAGGTGTGCACTGAAGTTCAGAAAAGTCGGATTGTTTTTTTCTAAGACTGAATAGATATAAAATGGCATGGGAAGGAATAGACTTGCTAGTTTTTAGTACTAAACAAACAAACAAAAGATGTTGTGTGGGTTTAAATATTATGACCTATTATTTATTTATGGACGCATCAGTACTAGATACAGAATGATACAGTGCCTAAGACTAACAGCCAGTTCCTAGAAGATGCTGTATCAGCCCTGCATCCCCTGAGAATGTATCAGTTGCTTTTCTTCAAATCTCACCTGTCACACTTTTTCTGATGATAAATATGTGCTTTTTCAAATCCTGATTTTGTCTGCTCCGATACTGGTGACACTTTGGTCTTAAGAGAAATTGATATGAAATGGAGGAATATCATCTTGTTTAATAAAGAGAGTGTATGTAATAAACTGTACCTGTATCTCAGTGAAGCAACATATTGGACAAGAAACTTGTATTTATTTTATTTAACCCTTCTTGTATTCCCCCACCCCCAAAGAAATATTAGTCATACATAACTCAGAGTCTGTCTCTAAGCCACACAGTGCAAGGAACTAAAATGGAGATTACAAATTGCTTATGGAGCTGCTCAATTTGCAATTGATTTAGACTTACACAATGTTAGCTTCACTTCAGCAATTCATTTACAGAACACAATGAATCTAATGTGTCAGCTCTAGAAATAATCTGTAGTGGCTGCCCCAATATGCCAGACTGCAACCTATTCGTAAACATTTGGAAGATTGTTCTGAAAAGAAAATACAAGGTGGAATGTTGTTGTCTCAAGCTATTAATTTTAGTGCATCCTTTTTGCTGGAGGAGATAAAAGTACAAAGAATAACTCTATTATATATTTTGACCAGACTAGGAAGAAGAATCTTAGACCAGTGTTTCCCAACCGGTGTTCCGCGGCACACTAGTGTGCCGCGAGACGTTGCCTGGTGTGCCGTGGGAGGGAGGCGGGCGAGTCGGGCGGCGAGAGGCGGGGCGGCGGCGGCATCTCCTGCTGGATGCAAATCCAAACATGGCGGGCGCCTCCCTCGCTCCTTTGTAGGCGGACCATCGAGAGAGAAAGAAAAGGAGGCGAAAGAGCGAGAGAAGGCGCCTGCGCGGAAAGAGGAGCGAGCAGTGCGCCTGCGCGCCGCGGCGCCCAAGTGCAGTGAAATTCCGTGAAGAGGGGAGGGGGGGCTGGAAAAGAGAGAAAGGAAAGATTTTTCATTTTAAAAAAAAAAAAAGGAAGAGGGAAAGAAGAGAAAAAGCGGCAGAAGCTGAGGGGAAGGTTTCCGTGAGGGAGAGAGAGAGAGAAACGCGGGGCTGGCGGGACCCCTCCTCTTCCGCCACGCGTCGCCCGCCACCGCCTCAGAATCTCCTCAGGAGCGGCGGCGGCTGCTCCCCCTCGCCCCCTTCCTCCCCCCCAGCCCCCTCCCAACCCCCGGACGAGGGACGCGAGGCGGCGCCGCTGAGAGGACGGGAAGGCCCCCGGCGGCGGGGTCGGCTCGAGCAAGGAGGGGCGAGCGCTAGCCGGCTGGCTCTAGCCCGGCAAGAGGAGGAGGAGGAGGAGGAGCACGCCGTCACTTCCACAGCGGCCGCCCCACACTCCCCTCCCCGGGCACCGGCGGGGAGAATGACGGAGCTCCAGTCCGCGCTGCTACTGCGGAGACAGCTGGCAGGTCGGTCCGTCCATCGGTCGGGGCAAAACACACCACAGCGCAGGCAGAGGCAGGCAGGCCCGTCTCTCCCTGCCCCCCCTCGGACCTGGCCGGCCTGGGGTTTGCACCCCAAACATTCATGTCCACCCCAGCTACACAAGCCACACCTTGCTCTCAGTTCGATCTGTCAAATAACTCACCTATCATTCACATAAAGAACCTAGTCTATCCTCAAACGTCAGAATGTACCTCCTCTCTAGCTTCCCCCACTTCATCTAGGCACTTTCAGCCCTTACTTAACCCACCCCAGCCTGCTTACTCTTCCTTCATTTGCTATAAAAACTAAATACAGAGAGAGACTGAGAGCTGTTGACGAAGAGCTACGTGTGTGTCTTTCTTCGATTCCAGCCAGAATATCAGCTTTGTGTTCAGCCAAACAGGCCCAGGTTGCGCACTGAATAAAGTATTTTATAATTTTTCATATTTCTGTTTACTTACTATTTCATAATAAAGTAATTATAAAATACTTTCTTTGTGTTTATTTGATTCCTATTAAAGAGAGTTACTTTATATATAGTCAATATAGGCACAGAGTTAATTTTTTAAACATTTTCTAATGGTGGTGTGCCTCGAGATTTTTTTCATGAAACAAGTGTGCCTTTGCCCAAAAAAGGTTGGGAAACACTGTCTTAGACACTACTTGCCTTAATGTGATTTATTTCTTGTCTTTCAGAATGAAGGAGGCTACAATCCTAAACACTATGCCTAAGGAGTAAACTCCGCTTTGTTTGGTGGAGCACTCTTCCAAGTAAATATGTTTAGGGTCAGAACACATTGCTGCAACGCTAAGCACTTACTTGGAAACAAACTGGATAAAGTAGGACTTACTTTTGAGTAAACATACAAATGATCAAGCTGCATATGCTCAAACTGCTCCTATTTTCTGTCCTGGGAATTCACTGTCCCGCTGTATCTTTGCTTTGGGAGGTTGTTAAAAGGTTGGTTTTGCAAGATGCCATGTCATTCAATTCCCTCTCAAGGATCTTAACTTCAAGATCCAACTCTGTGGAGTTGGATGCATATGTAGTGTTTTAAATTAACATAATTGTTTGTTCCAATAGTCATTTTGTGCACAGATGTAGCAGTGGCCACCAACCTTGAAAACTTTAAAAGGGGATTAGAAAAAATCAATGGCTATCAATGGCTGCTAGTCATGATGACTATATATTACCACCAGTACCAGATGAAGTATGCTGGGAATCATGAGCGGGAGAGCACTATTGTCCGTGCGTTCTGCTTGTAAGCTTCTCATGGGCATGTGAAAGGAGAACAGAACAGAAAGCTGAACTAGATGGTCTCATCCAGGAGGGCTCTTCTGATATTCTTAGTTAGTGAGTTATATAGAGAGAGGCATTTGGTTTTTCATACAGTGTCTCTGGAAAGGAAATGGAAATCACATGTTTTCCCTTACCCAGGGGCAGCTGAGATTTTAATTAGCATGGCCAAATAACAGATCATTGTCTTTTCTAGCTTAATTACGTTTTTCTTAAGGAAGGTAAAGAGAGCAGTCTCAGAGACAGAACCTTCACTTTCCCCCGCCCCACTCAAAGGCAATCATGACATTGTCCTTATTTATGTTGAATTTAATTTATTTAGGGATGCAATGATGTGATTATTGCATTGAATGGGAGGTATTAATTGTAGTAAAATTGATTTCAAAGCAGGATCGGAGTAATCTGGAGATAAATTAATTGACTAAGAAAAGATCTAGCTGATCTTGAGTGGACTGCAAATTATTTTAAGAATTTTAGGAATCATTAGATGGGAAGATAGCTGACATGCCTTTAAATTCTAATAATTATTTTAAAATCTGCATATATACATAAATATTCAAACTTGTGTCTTCTTTTTAGCCTCGTTTTCACTGGTGCATATTATATCTTTTTTTGGCATAAAGTTGCTACCATATCAGCTAATCAAATCATGGATTATGGAGAAAGCAATTTTTAAAAGACTACAATGGTAAAATGTGTACACATCAAACCTGGAATCAGCACCTGCCATGACTGGACAATGCTGGGCCCTGTGGCTCTTGCCAGTTGCTTGGCATCACTTTTTAAATGAAAACAAAACAAAAACATTTAGAGCAGTATCACATACTCAGCCTAGCACTGTCAGATAAAGTCCCAGCCTGTTTGGAAAGCCTGAAGTATAACTGAGGCACATCTGAGTGCCAGGATATTATATACACACACATCATATACATACATACAATGTATTATATGTATACATACACTCAGGCTGCACTCATATCCATTCTTACTCAGGAAAAAGTCCAACTGCACACAGTGAAAGATGAATAGGATTGTGCTGTCAGGTTTTTACTTTCATTATTGTTTCACAACAATGTCCTATGACAGATTCTTTTAACTACAGTGCTTTTGTACTTGGCTGCTGCAGTACAAAAGGCAGAGGAGGTAGAACCACCAAGCTGAATACGATACAGCTGTGCGGTGCTGGGCAAGACGATGCGTTGCACATATGTCATCACAGGCACGTGTCATGCATCATGTGTATGACATGCCACTGTGCCCCCAAATCATCGACCCCAAGTGGCAACTCTGGTAGTTACTATGAAAAAAATCTTGTAATTTATATCTTGTTCAGGATGCAATCTTGTACCAATTCACCCGGAAATAAACTTCACTGGACTTACTTTTGAGAAGGTGTCATTGGAACTCCACCTTCTGGTTGTGTATTTCCTTCCTCTTGCAGGTCAACCCCTCTCTGCCCCTACCTGCCCACCTCAGATAAAGAGAAAGCACACAGATGTACCCTCTCTTTGCTTTCTCAGCTGGGTAAAATTCAGTTCCAGTAGAATTAAAATGGATCTACCCCAACATAAGCAAACATAAGCAAATTAAAGATTACAGACTGCATAGCAAAAGTTACAGATCTGGTGGTTGCCAGCACCACACAAAAATGTTGATCCAAGGCACAGATCCTAATAGCCAGGGGTCAGCAACCTTTTTCAGCAGTGGGCCGGTCCACTGCCCCTCAGACCATGTGGTGGGCCGGACTATATATTGGGGGGGGGATGAACAAATTCCTATGCCCCACAAATAACCCAGAGATGCATTTTAAACAAAAGCACACATTCTACTCATGTAAAAACACCAGGCAGGCCACACAAATAACCCAGAGATGCATTTTAAATAAAAGGATACCTTCTACTCATATAAAAACACGCTGATTCCCGAACCGTCTGTGGACTGGATTGAGAAGGTGATTGGGCCACATCCAGCCCCCGAGTCTTAGGTTGCCTACCCCTGCTAATAGCTCTTCATGATTTTCACACAGGACAACAACAAAACCACCTGGGATTTGAGCCTATCACACTTTCCAATTATACAATGTCTGTTTAGATTGCATTTATAATCTAGCATTGCATTTTAAAAGATTTCTACCTTTTAAAGATGCTCTGCCAGCACTGCATCCACAAAACCAATCTCCCTACTCTTAGATTTAACCTATAGAAAAATAAACTTTATTCTTGCAGCATATTATTAACCTTCCCAACAGCACCTGTTAGAGACATAATAGGAAAGGTATACTTTACTGAGCCAAATTAATGAGTTAGAACTTAATAACCACAAACAGAATTTCCTGCTGCATTCCCTGGGCCATTTCCTGAGGAGAGGGGAGACTGCGGCACTGGGGAGTGGGCAGGCTGGTGAGGCCCCCTAGATTTAGAGGCCCAAGTTGTCCTGCCCTCACATGAAGTATCTGAAGAAGTGTGCATGCACACGAAAGCTCATACCAAGAACTAACTTAGTTGGTCTTTAAGGTGCTACTGGAAGGAATTTTTTTTGTTTTGACTATGGCAGACCAACACGGCTACCTATCTGTAACATGAAGTATTGGGTTTGCAATTTTGGGAGAGGGGAGACTGCCTGCTGGGGAGAGGGCAGGCTGGTGAGGCCCCCTAGATTTAGAGGCTCTAGGCTTCAGCCTATACATAAATCCGGCATTCCAAACATCCTTTCATATTCAACTCTGCATTGCAGTCAACATTTAATAGATTGACATGGTGCAACTGTAACATCAGGAAATTGAGTGAACATTATACATAATAACTTGAAAAGCAGTTCAACCTTCCCTGAAAGTCTTGTTAGTCCTTCATTGCCATCAACAGCTTTAACTTCTGCTTTAACCTATCTTTGGTCTGAAAGGGACACTGTACACTGTGCTTTTGTTTTTCATTTTCATTTTTCTGAAGGTTATGGGGCCTGTGTTCAGTTTTAAGAGGTCTGACCAATATCTTTAAGATCTTTTCGAATTTGATATGTAAATTTCATTTTTTGCCTTTAGCTGTTTTTTCTTCTTCCCTCAAATGCACCAGACTTCTACGTTAGGAATATAATACTTGGAGGTAGTATATTTAGCTTGATAAACCATTGGAAACAGCTGGTTATTTTGTGAATATTAGATACATCTAATGCAAAAGAAAAGGTTTTCCTGTATCTACCATGTAACAAACACCCCATTCAAACATGAAACAAAGAAAACAGAACCAGCTTTCTGCCCTCTGCGAACCTAACTGGACACAACTGCTAATGCATCTGTTGAGTATAGCTCGGCTGCCATTGTGAGCCTGCTTCCACCGTCAGTCTTTTCCATATGTCTGGCAGCCAGCTGGTTGTCCAGATGGAGTCACAGCAAACGATGATAGCCAGATGACCATTACCACCTCAGATGATGCATTGAAAAGGTCAAAAGGGCATTGGCTGCCATTTACGACAAGAGGACTTCATCCACAGGGGGCCCATTGGACGCTTGCAATAAAACATGCAAATAATTTACTAACCTATTGTCCACCTTTTTGTGAAACATCAAGAGCAGAACCCTAAAAGATTACATTTGATTTATTTACTGCCAAATTCATTTGTTCAAATATTCCATTCATTTTATTGTTGGGCGGTATATAACTAGAGGTGACCCTGATGGCATATTCTGAAACATAATTTAAGAGTTTATATTGTAGTACTTTCATCCACATCCACCCCATCTTTAAACATTCAGGAGCCAAGCCAAAGTACATTTTAAAATTGATTGATTAATTAATTAATTAATATAGATTCCCAGTCAGAAACTCAGCAATGGCACCAATAATCTGTTTGGGGAAAAGGGAGGCTCATGAGCATGTGGAAAGATGGATCCAGACTTTCTCTCTTTCCTCTCATTTCTACCCAATTCATAGGGGGGGGAACCCTATCTAGAATCATAGAATTTAAAAGGACCACAAAGGTCATCAACTCCAGCAATGCAATAAACTTTTGTCCAACCTTGGGCTCAAACCCATGCTCCTGAGACTGACAGTCTCATGCTCCATCCTATATTCAGTCCTTCCTTCTCTCCTCCTACCCAATAATCCAACAACAAAGACTGAAACCCAGTTCTTCAGACAAGGTTTTCAGTTTGAGTAAATGAATGTACTCCAGTTCTGTTGGCTCAGGGCTGATAAGAGTGATATCCAGAATAGTGGTAAATGGAACTTTGTGGGTATCTTACCTTACCAAGGCATATATTTTTTCCTTCTTCTTGTTGTTAGCATTATCAATAATAATAAACAGCTTTACAGACCCGTTCCCAGTGGAGAGGAGGGGCAGGGTGGGTGTGAGGGGGCAGGGTAGTGGTGGCCAGATAGAGTCACCCCTCCTATCTGCGAATCTACACTTCAGGAGTGGGCCGGTCGATCTTTGGGACAGCACTGCAGTGGTTGTAGAGTAATGGGGTGGGGTGACCAGGCTTCAAATCCTCACTTGGCCATGAGGCTGCTCACGTGAGCCACTTGCTGTTTCCTTAGTTGGACTAGATGATCCTTGGGGGTCCCTGCCATTCTAAAGTTCTATGATATCTCACAAGGTTGCTGTGAGAATAAAATGAGGGCGAGAGGGGGAAGGAGAGCCATGTTTGTAATTATTGGTATGTTTTAAACAGATGTTAGATATGTACATTGTTTTAATTCTATCAATATTTTAATTGTATTTTAATGACTGGTTTTTCTACATTTTTAGCAGTTCTTGTTTCTATCTGTACACCGCCTTGTGTCATAATAATAATGATGATGATGATGATGTCATTGAAGCGATGTACAAGACAAAAACAGAATAAAAGACCAAAGGCATACTAAAATACTATTTGGAAACATTTCTTATATTCAGATCATACTGTGTTGCATTATTTTGCTTGGTTGCAATGGATACTTTCCAAGCTATAAATTCTAGGATAATTTCATTAAGCAGCCCAAAAGCTGATGATTAATTTCACAAATAGCTTCATCACACAAAAACTGCAAACGTTTAGTCATCTCATTTGATTACAAACACTTGACATTAGTTCTGGGAAAATTTCACATGGCTTAGTTTTAAACTCTGTCTAGTCATTAAAAAATTACATTTAATCATTGGGGGTTTGCTGCCAACTTTAAACAAAGCCACATTTTGACTGGCCTATTAATTTTGAAAAGCCCATATTTCACCCAACATTTCAGTTATATTTGTTACATACTGTAGCTAGAACAGGCTTTGAAACAGCTAAGAAAGAGGAATGTGATATCTGACAAGTGAATGAAAAACAAATATTTTAAAACTTTACTTTTTAAAAGCAGCTTTACCCATGTATTATTTAAATTTCCTTGTTTGTAGGAGCCTCATTTCCTCAAATTTACTCAAATTGTTTAATGCGGTTGTACAAGTAAATATTTGCTGTGTCCCAGAGTGGAGCAAACAGAAGGATCAAATCAATTAAATTTGATTTGTTTTGTTTTATACTGTTAGGAGCCAGATTCAATAAAAACACTGTCCAATTCTCTTCCACAGTAGCCAGTCCAAGGTCACACAGGACAAAAAGGGTTTATTTAATTTAGTTCCACATGATTTGTGAAAAGCAAATCCTAATTTGCCTTTAACTCCTGCTTTCTTTAATCCCACACCGCATGGCTGGGGAGATGCTCCAAATAAGTGTGAACATAAAAGTAATCTGAAAAGGCCTTGCTGCTTACACTGTAAAATGGTCAGATCCTGTAACTAAGTTAGATTGAATTGAAAAGTCAAAGTAGAATAATCTTCTTAACTAGGATAGATTTAGCAGACTATGGAACTCTACCTCAAACCCAAACCACAGAGTTCTTGTTAGGTCAAAACCAAATGTTTCCATTTGAAGCTCACTGAATTTAGCTGATTCACAAAATTCCAGTCTGCACACTAAAAGTCTTTCCCTCCACATTAATAGTGCCTAATAGATAATTATCTAACAATAAAATATAATAATAATAATAATAATAATAATAATAATAATAATAGGTAATTATCTAACAGTATTTTACCATGTCTAAAAGAAATTATAAAACCTGGAATTACCAAATAAAGGAGGAAATGCTTAATACTACAACTATCTCTGCTGTGAATCCTGGAAGACCTGCTCCCTGCCTTGCAGGTCTTTTTCCACCTGGCCTAGTAGGGCAGGGCCCCAACTGACTCCCAGAGATGAACGCTGAGGCTGCTGAACTGATTCTTGGGCTGGGGTGTTTGTGGGGTTGTTGCTGTTGATTTTTGTATCTTTAGTTTAGATTTTGTAATTTATATGGAAATTGTTTACTTTGGTGATATATTCTTTAATGTTCTATTTATTGTTTAAGACTAGTTTTGTTAAGTTGTAGCTATGTATTTTTATCATGT